TGTAATGCTACTGTTGGGAATGTAGTTTGGTGTAGCCATTATGAATAACAGTATGAAGATTCCTTTAAAAACTAAAAATAAACTTATCATATGATCCCAGCAATCACATTCCTGGGCACATATCAGGAGGAAACTCTAATTCGAAAAGATACATGCACCCCAATGTATAACAGCACTATTTACAATAGCCAAGACGTGGAAGTAACCTCAATGCCCATCGACAGATGAATGGATAAAGAAGATGATGTGGGGAGTGTGTGTGTGTGTGTGTGTGTGTGTGTGTGTGTGTGTAATGGAATACTACTCGGCCATAAAAAATAATGCCATTTGCAGCAATGTTGATGGACCTAGAGATTGTCATACTAATTAAGCCAGAAAGAGAAAGAAAAATACCATATGCTATCACTTACATGTGGAATCTAAAAAAAAAAATGACACAAATGAACTTATTTACAAAACAGGAAGAGACTCAATGACACAGAAAACAAGCTCATGGCTACCAGTGGGGGAAGAGGGGGTGGAGGGATATATTGGGAGTTCAGGATACAAACTACTATATATAAAATAGGTCCTACTGTATAGCACAGGAACTATATTCAATATCTTGCAGTAACCAGTAATTAAAAAGAACAAGAAAAGGAAAAAAAATATATATATATATATACATAACTGAATCACTATGCTGTACATCAGAAATGAACAAAACACTGTAAACCAACTATACTTCAATAAATTTTTAAAAATGTAATGCTATAGTGTCTGCCTTATCAGGGCTACATGAAAATGTCATGTGAACATATTAGGGAATCAAATAAGAATCAGGAAGAAAATCTTTACTAAACAAGAGCATGGAAATTAAGGGGCAATTTCTTTTAGTTATCAATTCCTGACTGCATGTGTATTTTTACATGACCACAATTATAGCTAAAAAAAGGTTTTGTTCACTTAACAGAGTATCCTACTTTTCTAGATTTCCAAAGACTTTAAAATATTAATAGTTACACAAAATATTCTTGTGAAGACTGTACTAAAGCATCCTGTGGATCAGAGAAAGGTAATTAGGGTATGTGTCCCCACAGAGATGGGTTCTTCTATGATGCTGAGGAGCCAAAGGCTGGAGTTATTGGCTGTGAAGAGAAAAGCAGGGGAACAAGAGATACCAAAGAATCCTTTTTATCTGCCTAGACATGCTGTCGCTGGCTCATGGCTGACAAAGTTAGCAGCGCCTGGAGGGGCACTGCGGGAAATTTCAAAGGGGGCTACGAATCTCACTATCACTTAGTGCATGGTTTCTCTCTTTACTGGATTCCTGGAATCTCTCCATCAGGTTACAAGGGACAGAACAGGTGGACGGTTCTCGGGAAAGTAAGAGGAAGCTAACTGGCTTTAACTCTTTGCTCCACTGTATGGAGGGTGTTAGCACAGTACGTGGCACGCAGTCTACCTTCCTCGACGCTGCTGTAGCCAGAGTGCAAAAACAGTGAACTTTGTTGTGGTTCTCAGTCCTAACTGCTTTCATTTTTGGTCCTTAGCTACTCAAATCCCTAGAGACATATTCCAAGACCTTTGGGGATGCCAGTCCTTCATCCTTCTGAGCAAGGCTCTTCTCCCCATGGAAGGATCTTGGTGTTAAGTGCTCGTCACTGCCTGGCTGGGTTCTCCCAGCAATACCTGTTGCTTCTGCATAACTGACCTCCTGTCCTGTTTGCACGGCGATTCCTCCCCCCAGGCAACACCTTCATTAGAATCCCTTTTTTCCCCTTCTTTTCATATCTCTTCTACCCACGACTGAAATACGAATGGATTCCTGGCCAGAGCTGGAAAGCAAGGAGATTGAGTGAGGCCAGGGTTACAGGGTCCTCTTGCTCACTGGAGTAAGTGAGAGTTGGTATTTTCTTAGGTTCACTTTGTCCTTCTCTGCCTAAGGCACTTCTGCCCAGTGACAGTTTACATCACATCCTTTGCTTCCAACCCAGCTCCCAGTGCCAGCCGGGAGCAGGGCCTGCAGAGCAGTCGGATCCTCCGCCCTCTGGGGCCAGTTCCGCTGTGTATGGCTGCGCAAGGTCGCCCCCGAGGGCTGCGATGGCTCCGCTCAGGCTGTGCCCCACGCAGAGTGTGCCCACAGGAAGGGCATGCCTCTGATCAGAGTGAAGGCAGAGAGCGTGCTAGCCCAGCCCCACGTGCTTTCCTTGATAGAAGAGTGCATGCATTTTCAGAGGATGTATCCGCATAAGGGGGAATTTCTGCTTTTTCTTTAAGATCTCCTGGATGAACCCCGTGACCAATTTTAAGGAGGCTCTGCTTCAGAGCAGTGTGTAGGAGGAACACGCACACCTTGCTGCTCTGAGTGGCGCTCATTCATCACACCCACTCCATACTTTCAATTTCTTTCCCAAGACAGCAACAATTTCCAGACACTTAAAATACTTAACATTTTATACTATGCTTACTACAACAGACTAAAGATATAATCAACTGTCAGTAGAAATAGCTATAGGTAGAGAAATTCAATGTTAACCCTGATTTTTATAAATCTACATACATATCATGGCTAAAGACTGTGTATTAGTAAATGTCCACAACAGTAAATAACAATTAAGAAATTGAAGAACGATGCTTTTATCCATGCTTCCATGTCCCAAACTTTTGGCTTTGAAATTCATTAATTTCATTTCCACAGTAAGAGAATGCAGCTTTTTTGCATTTCCCAAGTACACTACAGTTCTACTTTTTTGTCATCACCTGTGTTCATGTCTCAAAGGGAAAACAGATCTATGATAAAGTCATTTTGGTGTTTAAGAAACCAAAATGCCATAAATGTTGTCCAAGAAAGGCTGCATCAACTTTCACTCTGCAGCCAAGAGCAATCACACACAGAGGACAAGTGCAGCGACTCAGAGCCCTCGTGAACTGAGTGTTGGAAAAGCACCCCAGCTGAGAGGCCCATCAGAGAGTTCACTCTCCAAAAACAAGAGAGAGAGAGAGAGAGAGAGAGAGAGAGAAAAGAGCTCACTCTCTAAAGTGTCCAAACACTTCCCGGCCTCCTTCAAGTATAACAAGTATGACTTAATCCTTCCTTAATGACGCAGAACAATAAAACAATGGATTTGAGAATAAGAGGTGGGTTTGACTCACTGGGTCAGTCACTGGGCAGACCGATCTTACTCAACCACAGCTCCTTCCAGGGCTTGTCAGCTCTGGGACAGGATCACCGCCTTCCTCAGAGCTGTCTAGAAGATTAGCTTACACAGCACACAAGAGGTGCCTAGGGCAGTGCCCTGGCTTTTGCAGAGGGTGCTCCGTGAAATGCCAGCCGACTTCCTGTCCCCTCAGTGCACAATCTGAACAGATGCGTTGCTGCTGCATGTGCTGCAGGGCTGTCACCTCTGGGTGGATGCACATGTCAAGAACGCGTCACTGGGCAGAATAAATGCAGCTCCAGGATTTGCCTAGAACTTTTTTTTTTAAGACCTACACCAGATGTATATATATCTAAATCTCTCTATATGTAGATATATATGTATATATATATATATATATACATATATATCTTGTTTTTTGATATTTAAATCAAGTTTAACTTAATTCAAATGTCACATACTTCCACCTTCCAAGAAATGGTTGCTTCATCTTAGTTAGGGAAATAGAAACTATTGACTTAAGCTTTCATTATGTTTGGACAAGTTCAGGCAAACAGCAAAGATTCAGAAGTCCTACCATCAAACCTCCAGCATTGAGAAATTGCTAAATCCAACTCAATCTATGTATGTATACATATAGATATAGATAGAGGCAGAGATAGAGACAGAGATATATATTCTTATTTGGCTTCCTTTTTCTTCATTAAAGTGGAATACGACTCCTAGGTAACAGGATGCAGCTGCCTTCTGCAAATTTCTTCCCTCTTCCCAAGCAGTTTTCTTACCCTTCCAAAAGTCAGCTCCCTTTATGCCCTTATGTGACCTTCAGTTCATGCTTCATAAGTCCTCTGTGCCACAGGCACTGCACATATACACACGGAAGTTTTAGCAGCTTTATTCATCATCACCAAAACTGGAAGTAACCAAGATGCCCTTCATATATCCAAACAATGGAATAGTACTCAACAATAAAAATGATCTACTGAGTCACAAAAAGACACGGAGGAACCTTAAATGCATATTGCTAAGTAAAGAAAGTTTCACATTTCAAATCACTCTGTTGTGCACCTAAAACTAATACAATGTATTACGTCCATTATATCCCAATTAAAAAATAATTCTAAAAGGAAGGGCTTTGTATGTTCTAATAACTGTTTCACTAACATGAAACTAGGTAAGAACCATGAGGCTTCAGACCTAGATTCAATCTGTCTTTATGCAGTTTTGTTTTGATTTGCTCAGACAGTCGTACATTGATATGGCTTTTGCATTCTATTAGTTGTCACTATTATTCTTTCATTAAAAAAAAAAAGAAAACAGGTTTATTCTGGAAATCCCCATAAGTACCGTAACAATTTTAGTGATGAACAACTTTGGCTTTTAAACCATCACATTCTAATCTATTACTTGAGGCCCTGACGCTGAAATATATGTAAAGGACAGGTGTCAAGATGATAGACACAGCTCTTTGAGGCCAAATTAAAAAAAAATTTTTTGGTCTTGTTTTTAAGCCAATAGAGCCACAATAGAGTCACTGAGCTTCTGAGCATTCTCAGAACAATGAGAATTCAAGTTATCTTGCCAACTCTTTCCCATATAATTCTTTAGGATATTTTTAAATTACACCAGCAGGCCACTGAGCTAAGATTAAAATACTATGTTCCCTGAGTCATATTTAAAATCAAATTGCTTTACTCACATTTGCCTTATTTTGTTATAACATCAAGTAGATGTAAAACTATTTTTTTAACATCAAAATAAATAACAAGAAAAATACCTAAATCTCATACCTCAAGGATATCTCCTCTGGTCAGGTGCAGTTAAAATGTTAAGCCTCTCAGATGACGTTTGGTACCATACCTGTCCTGTGTACGCGAACTCCAGGGCCTGCTTTAAGCCAAGGCTGGTCACCCCGCGTAAATTCACCTCATCGGCCCCACTTTCCACCATACAAAGACTGAACATGGCCTGGGATGGGGGGAGAAAGGAGGACAGACAGTTAAGGGACAAAGTCCTAGAGAAACTAAGAGAGAAACAAGTTTTACAAGTTAAAGATTTGTTGTGGCTTCTGAAATGCTTCTGCAAGGCTTCCTTCACACAAGCCACGGTCACTTCACTGTCTGACCAGTTGCAGTAACACACCGAGGGCTCTGCGTGGCTCACACGCAGAGTCACACTGAATCCCATGGCTGTCCCCTGGGGGACTTGTGTTGGGTCTCACTCACCAAACTCATTTGCTCTCCTTTGGGGTCCCACAGCTAACCGTGATCTGGGGGCCAGTCCCAAACCTTCTTGCCAACAGGACATGGAAAGCAGTACCTCCCGACATCTCTGCCTTTTCCTTCTGCCTCACCTCAGTGACACGTCTCCTTCCTCTCATCTGCCATTATCACACACGCCAGTCCAGTGGTTCTCAAAGTGTGGCGCCTGGAGCAGCAACATCAGCATCCTCTGGGAACCTGTCGGAGCTCACATTTATGGGGCCCCAGCCCAGACCCACAGAGTCAGCAGCTCAGAGCGTTGAATTTGAGAACCACAGTCTGAATTATTCAGTGAAAATTAATTTGCCCCCAAGCCTATTCTCAAAATAGTCAGCTTCTTGAAAATCAGTTAGTCAAATGAAAACTTAACAATTAAATAAAGGAAATTTACCAAATTATAAACAAAGGCATGGGTCCTCCCACCTAAAAAAAAACAACACCCAAAAAACAAAAAACCTCACTAATTTGTACACATTTAACAAGTTTAACTTAACAGGGAGTAAAGAGAACATTCAGTTTTGGGGTTACTGATGGTGAAATACACAGCTCTGTAGTGCTGAACTAACCTTCCCCAAAGGGAGGTCTGGCCTTTGCCTTTGGTTTCTGGAAGGTGACCTCTAGGCCTTTGGAATATCCTGCCTCAGAGGAGCATCTCTGTTTCCTGGGGCTTTGGCCACTGACAGTCTAGCAACATGATTTATGATGGGGGCTTCAGGCCACACTGCACCAGTTGCGACCTTCAGAGGAACTAGAGGCTAAAGGTATTAGTCTGACCTCAGGAGAGCTGGTGACGAAAGGGCAGCCACATAGGCAGTGTGTGATTGAGCATCATTAAAAAACTCTGGACACCAAAGACTTGAGTGAGCTGCCCTGGTTGGCAGTCCTGTGTGCATTCTGTCGCAGAGCATGGTCAGGATGGGGTCACGCTATGACTCCACAGGCGGAGGATGGCCAGAAGCTTTGTATTTGGTCCCCTTCTGGACTCTGCCCTATGCGTCTCTTCCCTTGGCGAGTTCCGGTTGTATCCTTCCCCTGCAATAAGCCACATCCAGGAGTGTACAAGCTTCTGTGACTCTTTCCAGAGAACGACAGAACATGAGAGCAGTTTTAGGAATCCCCTCAAACGTGCAGCTGGTGTCGGAAGGGAAAGAAGTCTTGACAGGACTGTCTCTTCAGATTTTGCGGTTTGGCTAACTTCTCAGAAGTAAAACAAGAATCAGAACGAACAAACTCACTCTCGCTGTTCTATGTGGTAATATTTCAGTACACAACAAATCTTTTTAATTTTAAAAGTGATTTTTTTTGTTTCGCCAATGGATTAATATTCATCTTCTAGCAATTTTTTCCTGATAAATGTATTTTGGATCCTCACAAGTCTATACATTTTAACTTAATATGTATGGGATGAGGGGTATTAATTGATGGTCCATTACTCTTTCTAGAGGTCCTCATTTCTAGCTTAAGCATTAGAGTTGTAAATTTCATAATGAATAGGATTCTCTTTGATAATTTAATATATAATTAAAATTCTAACTGTCAGAAATACAAAATTGTTGCTCTCTTTTCATTTGACAAATTTTGTAAAGAATATTTTAAATGCTTACAATTTGAGAAAATAAAAAATAATATTCAAAATATCCTAAAGACATTGGGAGTATGTAACATGTAACACATGCAATTTTATTTGCTATATTAAATAGCAAAAATTTGGAATATATTTAACTTTCAAAAATTTACTTTATCATGAACAAATGAAATCTAACATTCCTTTAGAAGCTATTACAGGTGAATGGCCAATATAGTAAATTTGGCAACTTGGTTAGTGAGTTAATCTGGCTTCCCACTGATGCTAATGGCAGTTAAGGTACTGCATGTAGGTTAAGAATGATAGATTTGAAGTCACATAATTCTTGGTTTGGTGAAGCACAGTGATAAAGGGAAAGCTTGTAACCAAAAAATTCTGGGTTTGAGCACCGGCAAGTGACTAGGACAAACATGTTACTTCTCTGGACTTCAGTTTTCTTATCTGAAAAATGGGGCTAAAATTTGTACTCAATTCATGAACTTGTCTGGAGATTATATGATAGAACATATGAAGTATTCAGTACAGTGCCTGGTATATGATGAGTTCTTAGTGAAATTTATATTTTATGATAACGACCAAAAAGAATAGTTTCTCTTATGTATTCTGTGGTTAAAAGGATTGACAGAAGTACAAGTTCTGGGGTTTTTTTGTTCTTGTTTTTGAAATCAAGTATGGCTATAGCTAAAAAATACTAATAGGAAATTGACTTAATGATAAATGGATTCTGCTTATGCATTTGTAGAAGCTCTAAAATTTCAAAATTTCAAAAAGCATAGGTTACAGTAAAAAACAATTTTCAATTCGTGCATTTCTAAATTTGCTTTTAGATTTCTAATGGCTGCTTTTAAAAGAACTTGAAAGAAATTTCAGTTGTTTACAATGTCTCATTTTTATTATATGGGTGTTTCAGTTCTTAATATTCCCCACATTAATTTCTTGTTTCAGATTTCCCAAGTTGTAATTGCACCTGATTTCGTGACCAGCTGCCCTCCATCACCCCATATACAGTAAGCATGACAGAAATTACTCAAACTGCAAAAAAATTATCTGGATTAATGAAATGGAAAAAGTTCCCGAGAGCAAAAGTTAAATGACAGAACAAGCTGCCAATTTTTGAATCTGCTTTCATAAGGGTCTTTCAAAAGCAAGCACGGCCATACTGGCATAGAACAGGTATCCACCCTCAAACAGAGACTTGTGAGCTACTGATCTTGAAACCAGGCTTGGCAGAGTGGGGGAAAGAATACAACCCCTTCAAAAATGTGTGTATTTATCTGTATAAACAACACTGCGACACCAAATGGGTCACTGTGGTTCTATTAGAGGGGACGACTGCAGAGGGAAGGAAGAGACTGTTATTTTACTCCACTTACATACAGTATTATTTGGATCATTACTATGAACATGTGTTACCTGCGTACTTCTAACACCTACCTTTTGAAAACTTGGTTTTATTGTTAATGTTCAGGGTTGTGCAGGAAGACACATCTCATTCAGATCCTGGTTCTATAACCTACTGTGGGCAGTTTACCATGAACATGTGACCTTTGGATAATCTGTTAACTTCTCTGAACCTCAGGCCCTTTATCTGTACACGGGGATAATACCAAACTCACAGGGTTCTGTTATTCTAATCCAGGCTGATTGTCCTACTCTTCCTTGTCTCCCTTGGATCCCGACTGGAATGAGAGCTAAGAAACAGTCCCCTATCTCTGCCCTGTGCCCAAATCCATTCCTTTCAAAGATTTTGCTGTTGAAAATCTCACTCAACATTCCTACGTCTGGCTGCAGGGCTTCACGTTCACCGCATACTGCTACACCGTACTTTCAGGACTGACCCCATCATAAAAACCATCGCCTCCATTTCTAAAAACACGTAACTTCCATTCTGATATCATATAGTCTTAGAAATTTAATGTTACAAATTTAACATATAATTTTTTAAAAATATAAAAATGTGTTAATTAAAAGATTGAAAAAAAAAGGAAATATTAAATCAAAGACAGTGTCTTGAGTTTAACAAGCTTAAAAGGCACCTCCATTAGGAAAAGCCCCACTGGATACCACTGAAGTAAGGAAGAACCCAGCCGTCTGACACACAAAACCCCAGCTGCCTAGGCTGCCTGAGCTTGTGCAACAGTGTCTAGAGACCTGCTAGGGCCCATGGGAAGGGACACAGCCTTCTTTGGTAGCAGAAGAGGTGAAGACATCAAGGGTGCTACCTTTCAGCATTAACTTACTGAAAAGGTAAAATGTAACATGCATGCAAGTGGGCACCGTATTTGCCTTCTTCACAGAGTCCCTGGACCCCAGCATTGCATTCATGCAATACATACAGGTCAATGAAGGAATGATTCAATCAGTGAACTGACAAACTCTTCACAAAGCTGGACAGATGATGTCCAGCTGTTCTACACTGCAATAAACAAAAATAATTCAACACAAGAAAGAATTTTCTGGATGTAAGGTGTTTTAGACACTGGGATACAAAAAGTAGCTAAAGTTAAAGAGAAAGAATATTTACAAAATGAGTTCGAAGCTAGACATTTAGAAAAAAGTAAGAACATATGGCAATGTCCTCTATCAAGCCACAACATTCTGCCAAAGCAGGGGAGGGTTCTGCTTAGAAACAGGAAAACATCGCACAGACTCCTTCTTGGTTCACACTGTTTGTCTTTGGGAGAGCCCTGGCCAGGCTGAGATTTACAGTCCTCACAGCTTACTCTTGGCTGATAATGTGCTGCAACCACCACAAATCCTTCTAATGGAAAACCCAGTTTGTGAGAAGACAATCCACTTTAAGTGCCTACCACAGAGAGATCTGTGGATTTACAGTGCGTCATTCCCCCTGTATTTCACACAGAAATGACACAAATTGAGTCTTAACATCACATGAATGAAGTTTCCTCGGGTCCCATCAGTTGTCAAGCAGTCACAAGATGAGCAACAACCTGTTTTAGGTTGGTACATTATGCCACAAAACTGACCGAGGGAAATGCTACATCCTCAAGGAAGGCAGAATGACAGATGATAGACCTTTTTAAGCACTTAAAGTTGATGAAATATGATCTTCTTACCCGGTCAACTATGCGTAGATTTGGGGTTGCACCAGATATGGGCAA